ACACACACAACTTGTTTCTTCAAGAAGTTCTACTAATCACTCTTTGCCTCTTTGGGTTTCTATAAGGTTTTTTTTCGATAGTGAGAACATTCTTCAACTTCTTTACAMTGGTCTAGGAACAAGAACTATTTACTGGCCTAATCTTAGGGTTTTGATTTCAAAACAAAAAGTGCAGCAGAACAGGGGAGAAGACCAATGTCCAATCACCAATGGATTAATTTTATAACTTATCTCAATACTCCACATATGGTTTAATTTTAGTGTTAGATAGTATGATTTCAATTCATATTGGAATACACCTAAATCACCTATATCAGCTAATTTCCACACATATATGATTGCAAATACCAACCAAAGGCATCTCTAAATAACCAATTTCAGTAAATTTAGCCCTAAATCCTAATAATCAGTAAATCACCATATAACCAATTTCAGTAAATTTAGCCCTAATAATCACCTAAATGCTAATTCAGTAAACTGTAAATCACCACTTTTGGGTTTTGATTTCAAAACAAAAGGTGCAAGTGAAGTGCAACAAGCAGCAATCAGTAGAGAAGCAAGCAGTAGGCTGTAGGCCAGTACAGGGGCGAAGAACTCAGTCAGCAGAGAATGAGAGAATTGAGAAGGACGGACTTACCGGGACCGGGAGTTACCGTGGCTGGCCGCCGCCTCCGCCTGCAGTGCCGCCTCCGCCTGCAGGCCGCCGCCTCCGCCTCCATGGCTCCGTGCCTCCGTCTACGCCTGCCGTAGTGCCCGTCTACGCTAACGCTAGTTGCCCTCCTCGTCCTCACACAGGCTGCAGTCGGCAGTGGGTAGTCGTTCTCGCTCGCCTCTCGGGATTGGATTTGGAAGGGGGAGGCCGGTTGAATTTTTTTAAATCTAGAAGGTATTGGATTACACTGTTGTATGTTAATTGGGAAAAAAATCACAGGGGCAGGGCCCCTATAGGCCCCTTAGGCGGTCCGCCCCTGAGCGCAACTGCTCAGGTTCAAGTCAAGTACTTTAGTTTTCAATCTCAGTGATTCAGCGTCAAGTTTTAAGCCTCTAGGTTTAAAAGGCTTCATTGTCACAAGTTATATGTTTTCAATAGTTCCAATGGCTTTTAGTAGGCTCAAGTGGCGATCGAGGTGCTTCTGTGTTTTTGGTCAAGTAGTTTGTCTTTGTAGCTTGCCCTCCTCAAATGTATCAATCAATTATGATCTTCTTGATCTCCTAATCAATATATTGTCTTACTTTTGCCCCTAAAAAAACCTAAATTAGCAGGCACAATTTTTACATGAGTGCAAGCAATGCAGACAATAACCTTAAATTCCCCTCCCCCAAACAAAAATGGAGCTAGTCACTTGGAACATAATGGTAACAGTATCAGATGGTGAAAATGGTTGAATTTTAATGACATTCAGCTGAATTTATTTCTCACACCAGGTATAAAACTTGTTCACTATATCAGAATTCAATTTCTGGTTGACAGTCTTCTTTTTTACCCAGTAAAGTTGACACAACAAGCTGTTATTGATGCAAAAAAATTGAAACGATATTAGGGTTATAAAAATATGGAGATACCTGAAAACTCCCAAATAGGAAGATTTTCTGGATCGTATTGTTTGAATCGACTCAGCGAATTGATTAAAATTAATGAATACGAGGGTGTGTATGTGAATTAAGAGATGATAGGAAATTGGGGAGGATGAGAAAGAACGAGTTAGGGATGATGAATTGATCGGAATCATGACCCTGGTGAGTGCGTACGGCCGGGTTAGGGTTTCTCGTTGTTTTTTCTTTTCATTTTCTGTTTCTGTTTTTTTTTTTCAATATATCGGTATCAAATGAATTTTCTAATGATAAATTTGGTTTATATGCGTAATGTAGTACCATATGTCAAAAATATGCTTAATTAAACATCAGTTCAGTTGTTGTATTGAATAAACAGTTTGAATTGTATAAATGACTATTTTATTTTTTTACTTTATATCAAACAATCTTTGTAGATAAAATTTTACAATATAACAACAATATTTGGAACAAATTTTAAAGAAAGTTGATCAAACAAAAACATGAAAATTGTATGAACGTTACAAACAAATCATCAAACAATCAATTTTTTACAATAATTTTTTGTAGATCAATCATATTACATGGAACACTCATACCAAGAACAACAAACAAATCAAATGTAACCAATTGTTGAATTAAATTAAACCCAAATAAAAAAAACATAATCGATGAACCCTTGTAAAAAAGCCAAGAGGGGTCAAAACCATATTCAATAGGAGATGATGTATAAGGCATTTCAATCTCTTCTACCATGTGTAAGGATCTCAATCTCTCCTTCCATATATAAAGCATTTGAATGTTTCTCTTAATAACAAGTCACCTTCCATGTGTAAAGCATTTGAATCTCGCATTCATAGACAATTCTTATCGCTTTGTAAGTTGCGGTTGACATTTCTTGAAGGAAGGAGATTATCAAGGCTTTTCTAGTGTAGTAAGGTTGGGAAATTCTTTGAGGGATTTCTTCTTCAAGTCTATGGGACGGGTTTGAGAGATTCTTGAGATATTTTTTTAGAGTGTTTTTTCTTGAAGGGTTATGACAAAGGTATTGTTTGGAAAATGTATTGTTGAGCGTAAACAAGCACTATCAACCGGTTGTCCAAATAAGTTGTCATCTGATTTATTAAGCCACAACCGAACAATCTTGTATGGCTTATTGAATAAGCCATACTCAACTCATTAAGTTGCAACCAAACAGTCAAAGACCTTCCAGCCTAATGGTAAGGCTTGGGCATGGCATAATCATGAACCCGAGTTCGAGCCCTGGGAGGGGAGTGTTGGCAACATTTAAGTTGGGCCATGTTTAGCCTCCAAATTTGCCGGGGATTAGTCGGGCTTTGGCCCGGACACCCTTACAAAAAAAAAAGTTGCAACCAAACAGCCTCGAAGTCACTTTAGCCAATACCCACTTACAAAATGATAAACAAATCCTATTAATCAAAACTTTCATCCATTTTTATTTGTATTTATAATCAAATAAATAAAATCTTATTTGATTGGATTATATAACATTTTATTTCAATCATTTTGTATCTTGGCTTGCTGTCTCATCAACGAACCAACCTAGTTCAACTAAGCCCAAAGCAGACAAGACAACATTGATTGAATGGGTACATCAAGCCTAAACCTGGTCCTTTGAGGAATCCCTAAATCCTTAAATATAGTTCAACATTTATGTTATATGGAAGCTGTGTTTGAAGAACAACCTCTATATGTTGAAAGCAAGTCTAAGAGACCGTTTACCAAATGCTTACTCGGGTAAGTGTTTATCAAGTTATATTACCTTATCGAATGAATATGACAAAAACCAAGAATCTTACTCGATAAGAGTAAGACAAGGACCGAGAGTCTTATCCGGTAAGTGAGAATGATGACTCTTACCAGGGTTAGCACTTACCAGGTAAATTCTTGCATCCAATGACGTTTTGATGGACTAAAATCTTACTGGGTAAGAAAATGCTAGCATTGAATTTTACCGGTAAGCACTTACCTAATAAATGTTTGGTAAATGGTCCCTAAATGAAAGTTTGTGAAGATGAGGAGCACGAGTGATTCTAGATGCAAGTGAACAAATGCGTATGAGTCTAAAAGAGCGCTTCAATTGTGACATGCTTGACATCACGTGGAGGCGAGTCTATAAGTGAACATGAGGTCGTATTGACTCCAAATGTTGGTGTCTATAACCAAAAGAATGGGGCATGATTGGTTTGAGCTTGGCTCCAAAAGTCAAAAATACCAGGAGGTCCCAGGTTCAAATTCAATAAGGAATAAAAATCCCCTTGTGGCCACGGAAGTTCAAATGCGGTGACTCCAGGCTATCTGCAAAGCAGGTGGTCATTCTGGGATTAATCGGCTCACATAGCGGGTTGGATATCCAGGTTAATAAAAAAAAAATTGGTGCCTATCCTATTTTTGTAATTCTAGGGAATGTCAACTTGGTCAAGTTAGTTAATTATGTGAGTTAAGTTATCAGTATTGTCTTTTATGATATCTAGACATTTTTTACGTTATAATTGAGTAGGTCTTAAGCTACATTATGAGATGAGTTCTTTTGAGCTTAAAATAGATAAATGTGTATGTTCGAAACAATATTTGTAGCAAGGATTGATAAATATTATATGTGTCTAGTATTTAGAAATAATATATACATGATAAGTATTTTATTTGTTTTAAACTATTTACAAGAAGATGTTGAGTTCATTAAGGACAAATCAGCCTAAGTTGGGTTCTTTGCATATATCAATAACATTTATGTTGATTAATGAGTTAAATTCGAGGTGCATCTTTATAATGCAAATACACTGCTTATAAAAATCAAATATAACTTTAAAAACTCGTTCAAAAAATCTAACACCTTTAAATCATGACCTTCATTTGGTTATCCATTACAATTTATGCTTCATCGGATCCTATGTTGTGTATAAAACGTTTTGAGAATATACAAAGAATTTATGAATTGCAAAACTGTGCTTCTATGTAACATGGTTTCCATCCTAACCCGACCACAATCACTATTTACCAATTTCCAACCAGGGTATGTGAACCGGTGTGAATCTGATAGCGCGAATAGAATAATGGCTCTTGGACTACTTCCCTTGCCCACTATTCATCCCTATCCTCATCAACAACCTGCTTACAGATGGCGCTTGGTTTTATCCTACGATGGCACTCGATTTTCTGGTTTCTATCTCCATCTTCATCTTGATTATGTCTTTACTTTATGCCCTAAATCGAGATTATAGAACATTCCCTCAAGATAGGGATTTTTGTACTTACTTTTAGGTTGGCAGTATCAGCCCTCAACGCCAACCATACAGTGCATTTTGGAACAAGCCTTAACTCGAGTTACAAAACTAGAGCGCAAGGATCTCTGTTTAGTTGGTGCAAGTAGGACGGACACAGGAGTCCATGCGCTAGGTCAGGTAATGGTATTCACACGTATAGCAACCAATCAATCATTGAGTTTAAATTTAAAACTTGATTTCAGGTGGCACACTTCGTTACACCTTTCAATTATCAAGGACTGCAGGATATGCACGCAGTACTCAATGGTCTTCTTCCTCCTGACATTCGAGTTACAGAAATCTGCCCTGCAATGCCCCAATTCCATGCTCATTTTTCAGTCACCGGAAAGATCTATCATTACAAGATCTATAATGATCCTGTTATGGACCCATTCCATCGTCTATATGCTTATCATAATCGTTCCAAGCTCAATACTTGTGTCATGATGGAAGCCACTAAGCATTTTCTAGGGAAACATGATTTTTCAGCCTTTGCGAATGCACAGCGCAATGATCGCACAGTCAACCCAGTGAAGAATATATTCCGACTGGATATAACTGAAGAGGTAATTTTTTTTTATTTCTTTATTTTTATTTTTTGGGTGTGCATTTGCAACAAACAAACCTTTTGGTGTTTTTCAGGACCCATTTTGCAGATTGAAGTTGAAGGCTCTGGATTTCTCTATAGACAAGTCAGAAACATGGTACACCAACATCATCTCCTCAAATGATTACTTGGATCGGATTGAGACATTTATTGGTTTCCACTTTTATAGGTTGCTTTATTGTTACAAATTGGGAGGGAAGCAATCCCACCGGAGATTGTTCCAAAAATTTTGGCAACATGTGATCGCAAGKAACTTGCAAAGGTCGCTCYTGTAGCTCCGCCTCATGGTCTTTGTCTGGTGGAAGTTAAGTATAATGAAGAACATCTCCAGCTTCCTGAGGGTGGGCCTGCAACTAGTTTCGGTAGGCATCATAGCATAAGCAAATGTAAGCTGCAACATTACTAGTTTAGGTTAGTCAGCAACATAAATGGCACTGCCACCTTGTAACATCTAGAAACTTACCCAATTTCTCTTTTATTATTGATTTTTGGTTTACCTTTAGAATTAATAATAAGGGGGGTAGCTTAGCTGCTACCTTATTATCCTAACCTATAGGCTTCACTTATAGCAAGGGGGGTTAATCTTATTACCTTGGAGTCCTTAGCCACCGTTGGAAAAGGGGAGGAAGATGAGAAATAAAAGTAGGTAGTGAGAGAGGTGGAAGTCTGAGAAGAAAAAGAAAGGGTGTGGGTTTTGAAGAAGAAAGGTTTTGGACCTCAAGGAAGATAACCTTTGGGGAGGAAAATATGTCTACCGGTGTTGATCCTAAACGCCGGCCAACAAGCAAAGAAACCCACCTGCACCCCCATCCATTTTCGCACCTCGGAACAACAGTCGTCATGCGCTATCCTTTCATTTTTCCTTGCCCGAGCAGCCGTGTCCGTGGCGGCCCGCACCGAGCCGCTAGCAGCAGCAACCGGAGCTGTCTGCNAGCAACCGGAGCTGTCTGCATTTTTTTGTGTCTTCTCGGAGAGCCAGCAGCAGCAACCGGAGTTGTCTGCGCTTTCTGTGGCTTCTCGGAACAGCGACAGCAGCATCGTGTCCGTGACTGCCTGCACCGAACCTCGATCAGCAGCCCCGGTTAAGGCTGTTCCTTCGCTTCTCCGCCTATAACCAGCAGCCACCACCAGCCGCATTAAGCAGCAGCCGCTGCCATATCTTTTCTTCGCCTCCTTGCCTAACAGCAACTCGTGGTGCCTCACGGACAGCAGCAGTTGCTGCGCTTTCTTTTCTACATCTCTCGACCGAACAGCAGCGACAGCAGCAAGTAGAAGCAGCTACTGCCTTGCCCGTTGTTTCGTTTCGTCAACAGCAGCGGCAGCAGCAAGTAGCAGGCGCTACTGCCCTGCCCCGTCATCCCCTTTCGCCTATCAACAACCGTAACAGCAGCGAGAAGCAACAGGCGCTGCTGTACCCGTCCCTCGCAATCATCGTCGTGCCCCTCGGCGAACATCAGCAGCAGTGCAACCGTGCTGTTCTACGTCCCTTTCCGCCCACCTTTTGTTCTCGACTTTTGGGGATTTCTCCTAAACCCTCCAAGGTGAGTTCATCTCGCTCCCTTTTATGAAAACTTATACTAACTGTGATGATGTTTTACTTATTAATTACCCAAGTTCCCATAGGATTTACTTGCTTAGAGGAAACGAATGTTTTAGGTAAAGGAGCGTATGAACTTGGGAATTCCGATATCTATGCTTGGATAATGTTAGAAAGGGGCTTTGTCCAATAAATAAGATTTATATTCTCGAGTATTTCTTTTGGTCATTAGATTAAAAAGAAAACCCCTTATGAATTGCGTATGGAATACCTTTCTAGTACAGAAGAATATCTTAATTGATTAAGGACTCTTATAAAGGTTTATCGTGAATAAGTGCCGGAATGCTTAAGATATCGTCTTTGAACTTGTCACTAAGAGGTAATGGGCTATGGGCATGAAAGTCGTTTTGTTTTATTCGTGTGAGAGGTGATGTAAGTTGGATTTAGGCATTGCGATTATTATGTAATTTCCAGCCTCACTTTCTCACTCCCACTCGGAAATAGACATTGTGATTATTATGTAATTTCCGAGATAAAGAGCTTATGATCACGATCGACTACATGACTGGTTTAGGTTGATGTCGATGGTATTATACCTGTAAGTGATGCTCTATAACGTTGATCTATGACTTACTTTGTGTCTGTCATAATCAACGGTAAATCGGGTCTCCCYCGTCATCTTCGGATGTTTTATTGTTCCACTTTGAGTATTCAGGTCTTACTGTCTCTATTCATGTTTAAAGTTACGCCAACTATTTGCATGTATATATTTTTATATATGTTCCTTTATGTTTATGTAAACTCTTTTGGTTTGACTTACTAGGCGTAAGCCTAACCCTCTCTCTTTCTTGTTATAATTACTTTTTAGGTTCCTTATCGGTGGGGCTCTAAAGGGTTGAGAGGAGCGTTGGTTCGTGAAAGGCTCTTTTGTAATTATAGTCTTGTTACTTTTGAACGTTGCGTTTTTAATGTTACGGCTTTTTGGAGAATGATAGGAATACCCGTCCTTAAATCTAGAAAAATCTAAATTAGTAGGTTGTTATTTATCTTCTCAGTAGCGGAATTGTAAACGCTGGCAGCAAGGCTGCCGTGTTGTTTCCCTTTACCTGCAACAACAGCAACGGCAGCAAGGGTGCTGCGTTGTTTCTCTCGACCGACAGCAACAGCAACGGCAGCAAGGCTGCTGTGTTTTCTTCTCGTGACCTGCAGCAACAGCAGCGAGCAGCAAGGCTGCTGCGCTTTCGAGTTCGCCCAAACAGCAGGCAGCAAGATAGTGACTCGGCTGTGCTGTGTTGTGCGTTTTCTGCACCCCCTCGACCAAACGGCAGCAGGTGCTGTGTTTCTTGCTTTCTCTCTCGACCAAACAGCAGCTACAACGCGCTGCTGTGTCGCACCCTTCACAAAATCGAACACCAGCAGCCGGAACTGTTTTTCTCGACCAGCGACAGCAGCAGCAGCAGGGAAGGAAGCTGTTGCGTGCTTTTCTGCCGGAACCGAACAGCGCACAGCAGGCAACAGCCTCGCTGTGCTGTTTCTTCACGACCTGCCGCCTGAACCAGCAGCTTGTCGAGTTGTTTCCTTCGCCATCTTCGTCCAAGCAGCGGCTGTCGTTGTACTCCTCAACCAAGAAACAGCAGCTGTCCTAAGCCGGATTCTTTTGAATCCTTCTATGTGAGTCCAATTGTTCTTTTATGTTCGGAAAATTACTAATCGTTGCGATAGGGTAGTTGCTACCGTATTCTCTAATTCCTAAGGTAAAAAGAAAGAGGAAAAAGGATTACTCATTTGCTTATTACGCGGATTATAAGTTAAGAGTTGTCAATTTAGGATTCCCGTTGGCGTTGGTTAGGATGAGATGGAAATTGATTACTCACTATCTAAGTTGCACATTTCTAGTTTCGTCGGCCTTAAAACTCTAAAATCCCCAAGATATATGTATGAGGGGCTTTTATTAGAAATAGGGAATAATTCATGATCATGAAAATCGCATCAATACTTGATAATGAATGATATTATGCATATGTCGTCTTTTAGTCGTACTTACTAGAGGGTATTAGATTATGAGTACGGAAGTTGAATCATTTACTTATGAGAAGGTTGATATGAATGGGTGGTAGGCATTGTGATTATTATGTAACCTCCAAATCAWCCTCTCACTACCACTCGGTAATAGGCATTGTGATTATTATGTAATTACCGAGGTAAAGAGCTTATGATCACGAACGACTACATGACTGGTTTAGGTTGATGTCGATGGTTTTTATACCGGTAAGTGATACTCTATAACGTTAATCCATGACTTACTTTGTGTTCCGTCATGTCTAACGGTAAATCGGGACTCCCCCGTCATCTTCGGATGTTTTGTCACTTTTTATATATTGAGCCTTACCGTTCCCTTTTGCGTTTAAATTACACCATCTGCATTGCACATATGAGTTTATGGGTTTTTGTTGCCTACTTTATTATTTTGTCTGGACTCACTAGGCATAGCCTAACACGTTCTTCTTAATATGGCTTGGCTTACCAGGTTCTCTTAGCGGCGGGGTACCGAAGGGTTGAGAAGCTTGTTGTTGTGAAAGCTTTCTTTGCTTATTTTGTTGTAGTTGTAGCCCCTCGTATTTCGAGCGATTGCAGATTTTTGGTTGATTCGTATTTTTGTCGATGAGGATAGAAACACCCGTTTTAATCTGAGCTTAGAACCGTTTAGATTAATAGGTTGTTTTTTTTTTTGTTATCGCCTCTTCGTTACCTTGTAATCGTTGTACGTTTCCCCTTTGTTGGGCGATTTCCCTTATTGAAGCAAACTCCCCGTTAAGTTCATCTGCTTTTATTATTATTCTTTTTTGGGTGTTTCACCATGCATCTCTTTGAACTTTCCCACCTCGGATAGTACATGAGCACATTCCACGTGCCTCGCTGTGACTGATGTTCTAAATACAACTCCTTATACATAAATGTTTTGCAATGCAACATTGAGAATACCACTTGTGACTCATATTTAATCTTTTTATTCTGACGCTTTTTTTTCGAGAGTCGAGGGTCTTCACCCTACCCCCTCCCCTCCCCACCCCGACTCCACCACCAAGTGGATATACTGGGATAGTTTAGTGACTCCTTGACCATTCTCTCAATCACAATTTTAAATGAACACCAACTTATGTTAATCTATAAACAAGAAAATCAAAATTATTAATGTTTGTGATAACTTATACTTATAAAGACGTAATTTGTACATTTATTTACTTTTGTCAAGTTATGTCTGAAGAAAGGTCTTTTATAATATACAACCATTTAAAGTATTTTATAATATAGTATAGGTTCATACATATTTATGATATTTTATAATATTATTAAATTCAAAAATATTCAATAATGAACTTATTTTTCCAGGCAATTGACTAGAAGATTACAATGACTTAATTTGTAACAAAAAAACACATTTTTAATATATTTTAGTTAATATATAATTATGTATTTTAAATAGAATAAAAGTTTAAAATGAAAAATGAAAACATAAAAATTAAAAACAAATTAATTYRTATSTATTCATAATATTCAATAGTATGATTAAAGAAAAAAATATTCAATATTTGACTCATTTTAAGTATATTGACGAAAGAATTATAATGACATAATTTGTATATATAAAAAAGAAACACATTCTTTAATGTATTTTAGTTTACATAAGATTATTTATGTTGATATGATAAATATGTAAAATGAAAACTTAAAACGTAAGGGATATAAAGTAAAATAAATAGTTATAAAAGGGTTTAAGTCTAACCTAGAAATAAAAATGATTTGACTAAAGTTTGTATATTTAGCATAATTCATATGTATTCATAATATTTAATAGTATGATTAAATCAAAAAGTATTCAATATTAGACTCATTTTGAAGGTATTGACGAGACGTTTATAATGATATAATTTTGTAAAAATGGAAACGTATTTTTAATACATTTGATTTTATATACGATTATTTATGTTATACGATAAGGGTGTGAAATGAAAAAAAAAAACAAATAAGAGGTATAAAGTAAATTAAATAACTAATTATAAAGATATAAAATATAATTAAAAAATGATTTGATTTCTAATACATGGGAGAGATGACAGAGATCATGGGCGGTTGTGGAGCTTTAAGTTTATATAATATGATGTAGTTCTTAAAATTTTCAATATAACTATAACTTTTCTTTTTTAATATCAGTAAACCATAAATTAATATTTGACATTATTAGAAGGGTACTTGCACAATGCAACGAGATACATCTCGATTTTAATTTTTTGTTTTTTTTTGTCTCAGTCGATGTTATAATACAATTTTATGTGATTTTGAAAAAATAATAATGTTTTTTATTTTTGAACAAAATATACATATGAAGATATATTATAAAAGATTGAAAAAAATATATTATATTAGTATCAAAATAACTATTAATTTTTTTATTGTGTATTTCTATAATCATTTTTTATTTAATAATATAATTTTTTATAAAAATAATAATTAAATATTTTGTTATAACTCAATGATTATTCTAATTATATTTTAGATTTTTTTATATTTAAAATGAGATGTTTAATCTTTATTTGATTATGTTTATCTGTAGTTAGTTATACAAATTAAAAATGAAGCTTTAGTAAGTTGTACCTATGCATAATTTATTTGTAATCATGAATTTTAGGTAATATACATCAATAAGCAGTATTTTATATATAAGAGATGATTTTTAAGAGTTTTTGTCAAATGTTTTATAATATAAAATAGACACAAATATTCATATTATCCAAATTACAAATTAAATGGTAGTTTGTGCATGGTGGTATCAATTCCCGTTCTCATCGACCTCTGGTCTTGTTATGAAACTCATCCTCAATTATATTATTGTGGTTTTTATTTATTTATTAAGTTTCATATGAATAAATTTGTTTGTATGGTTTATAAAAATATTTTTTTTAAGAAGGTTTTTTTATAGATGAAAATATGATATTTTTTAATTAAGAAAGATAAGTTTGATAAAAACTTGATTTTCTACGTAAGATGTTATTTAGAAGTTTACTAAATAAATCATTTTTTATATCATTAAACGAATATAAAATAATCATTATAAGTGATTAAATTAGTTATAAATCCTATAACAAACATTTCCTTTCATGTAAATAAAAGCCTTGGAACAAAAGTTTTTTATTCATGTTTGAAAGATACAAATAACTTAGGGAAAAAAAAGGAAAAGTACAATAAAAATCAATAGACTTTCTTGTTTGGAATGATTAAGTCATTGGACTTTTTTTTGGAACAAATAAGTCCTTGGACATTCCAAAATATGTTAAATAAGTCTTTGGACAATTTTTTGGAACAAATAAGTTCTTGGACAATTTTTTGGAACAAATAAGTCCTTGGACATTCCAAAATATGTTAAATAAGTC